GGTGCAAAAGCTGTTCGATGGAGGAAGGACAGACTTTTAACAAATGGTGCTGGAAAAATTGGGCATCCACAGGGGAAATAAAAGAAATGAACTTCAATGTCAATCTCCCAACTTGAACAGAAATTAATTTAAAATGGATCACAGATTTAAATAAAAATGTGAAACTGGGAAACCTTTAGATGAAAACACAGGAGAAAATTCTTGAACTTAGGTATTAGGCAAAGACTTCTTAGACTTGACACCAACAGCATAAAAAGATAAATTGGACTTGATCAAAATTAGAGACTTATGCTCTGAAAGACCTGCTAGGAGGATGAAAAGACAAGCTACAGACTAGGAGAAAACATTTGCAAACCACTTATCTGACAAAAAGACTAGTATCTAGCATAAAAACTCGCAAAACTCAACAGTAAATGAACAAACAATCCAATTAGAAACCGGGCCAAAACTAAGAACAGATATTTTGCCAAAGAGGAGCTATGGAGGGCAGATAAGCATATGAATAGATGGTCAATATCATTAGTCACAAGGAAATGCAAATTAAAACCACAATGAGGGCAGGCCGAGTGGCACATTGGTTAAGAGCTGGCTTTGGACGCCAGAGGGCCCCGGTTCGGATCCCACATATGAGGGCCAGTGACACTGCCCTCTACAGCTAAGATGCTGAACAACAGCTCTACCTGGAGCTGAGCTATCGTGAGTTGCCGGCGACGGCGTAGGCTGCAGCCCCTGTGGCAGTGGGTTGCCATGGGCTACCGTGTGTAGCCAGCAGCCAGCATGAGCGGCCAGCAGCCGCAGTGAGCGGCCGTCCAGAAGCCGGCGACTGATCTGCCTCGCCCGGGAAGAGCGCAATGATGGTGCCAACTTGGGCCAGTGAAGCAACGTCCTCCACAACTAGACTGAAGAACAAAATGACAGCAACTTGTCTGTTCCCCTTCCCCCAGTTCCCCAGCGCTGTTCCCATCCCCCAATTCCCCCAATAAAAATCTTTAAAAAAAAACAAACCACAATGAGATATCACTCCACGCCTACCAGAATGGCTAAATAAAAAATAGTGACACCACCAAATAAATGTTGACGAGGATGTGGAGAAACTGGATCTCCCTTCCGTTGCTGGTGGGAATGTAAAATGGTGCAGCCACTGTGGGACACAGTTTGGCGGTATTTTCTAAAGCTAAACATGGACTTGCCCCATGGCCCAGTAATCACATTCTTGGGCATTTGTCCCAGAGAAATGAAAACTTATGTTCACACATACCTCTTCATGGATGTCCATGGCAGCTTTATTTGTAATACCCCAAACCTCCAAACACCCCAGATGCCCTTCTGTGGGTGAAAGGTTAAACAAACCGGTACACCTGGAAACAAACATCCATGCCTGGAAAACCACGCAGCAACAACACTGAGTGAGCCGCTGATACGTGCTGCCACTTGGGTGACCTCGGTGACATTGTGCTGAGTGCCAAAAGCCAGTCTCAAAAGGTCATGTGCTATGTGCTTGCAGGCCTGTAACTTTCTTGAAATGTTGGAACTATAGATGGAGAATAGGTTAGTGGCTCTGGGGGGACAGGGTGGGATGGGAGAGAGGGTGTTTCTGAAGGGGCAGCACGAGGCTGCTCCTTGGTGGCCGTGGAGCAGCACATGGATGTACGCGTGGTGTCAGGTGCCTCGAAGCCCTCACACCACATTGCACAAACTGGTGCAACCTGAACGAGGCCTGGAGTCTCGTTGGCAGTGTTGTTCCAATGCCACTTTTCTACTTTTGGTATTGAACTATAGGTTATGGGATGTCACCACTGGGGAACACAGGACTTGATGTACTTTTATAACTTCCTGTGGATCTATAATTATTTCAAAACGTATCGGTTCAACCAGAGAAGCAGAACCAATAGGAGATACATGTGTCAGAGGGAGACAGAGTGAGTGAGTACGCCCATGAGAGATTTATCACACGGGATTGGCCCACACAGTTGTGGGGGCAGCCACACATGTCAGGAGTCTGTAGGGCAGGTGGACAGGAAGGGGAGATCGCAGTCAGCTGGCAGGAGCTGTTCGGTGTCTCCAAGACCAGGGAAAGCCTAAACCTCTCTTCCAACATTCCATCTGATCAGGCCAGGCCCACCCAGCCTCATCTTTCTTTTGTTCTTTTGAGTAACTTAATATTTGCCAGGTAGGACTTTTAATCACATTTGCAAAATCCCTTCAGAGCAGCACCCACAAGAGTGTCTGATTGAATGACTGGGGGCTGTAATTCTGCCTAGTCAAGAAACTTAATATTGTGACTGTTTTTCCATATCAACCCTTAGATAACTACTTCATTCTTCTTAGTATGATAATAGATGTTCCATAATTTTTGAAAAACGAAATGATCTTTTGTACAATTTGAGGTTGACATAAATTGCATTAGTTGAAAGGGTGTAATTTCTGGCATGTTGTAATACTGATATTTAAAAACAAAACTGATTTGTTGCTCTTTAAATGTTTTCATTATACTCTAAATACCATCATTCATTTAAAAAATCCCATCTGTAAACTTTTGACAGCCAAATTTTGCATTTTTCCTTTGCTTTTTGAACTTTCATTCCCATTTTTTCCCCTCACAAAATGTTATCCTGTCAACCAGGCTGTCACACTCCTTTGCATCAGAAATAGGGATAGAAATTGAAGCTGAAATATTTATTTCCTGTAACTGGAAGACCCCAAGGGTTAAAAAAGCTCTTCTGTATTGAGTTCTCATTATATAATTATTAGTACACAGTTGAACACAATGACACAAATGTTGATCACTCATTTGTAATGAATTCTTAACAACCCAGTATAGTGAATGTATTCTTGAGATGGATGTAGATTTAGTTTTAGTTACTTTCCGAACCCCAGGATGATTATGACACCACTTAAAATGAGACAGGGTTCGGCATTGGTTCTATTTCTCTTTTCAGGTTTTACAGTTTTCAACTCTGAGAAACTTTGTTCCCATAAATAAATATGTGGGAAAGGAAGGAGGTCTTCAATTCTTTTAAGTTACATGCCAAAAATTGTAGTGATCTATCATCAGAAATTATTTTTGATGATCTGTGAGCTGAATATTTAACTAGGTCCTGTCAGGGTTGTGGAAAGCGAAGAATTTTGGAATAATAACTCACCGAAGGGTTTTCCAGTTGGTCAGTAGAGGCGTTGTCCGCATTCAGACTGAGCCCGTGTTTGTACCTCCGGTGTTCATTCCCTGGATGGACAGTGCACCTGAGTATAACTAGAATGAGAGGTAATTGTTGTTGTTTTCTTAAGTGGGAAAAGGGCTTTGTGAAAGTGACAAATACATTGAACCAAAGGCATTCTCTCCAGGAGAATCACTTTTAGGAAATAGAACATTCTGGAAAGTCAGGATCTGGAAATTAAGTTGCTGAGAGCTGTCCACACCCAGGAACCTCCTGGAAGTGTTGGGGTACCTCTAGGGCTACATTTATTCTAGCTTGAAGCTGGCCCCTGAACAGTATTTCCTTGATCTTAATAAGAATCTTCAGGGGAAAAAGATATGTTTAGTCAAACAACTTCCAGATGAGCATAAAGACATTTTAATCTGTATTTCTTGCAGGACTTCTCAGACCGTTAATGTGGTAACGTCCATTAGGGGACTACTGTCTACTCAGCAGACCCTCATGGAATGAGGGGGAATGGGCAGGGTATGTGTGTGGGGTCCTGGGGGGCGCTAGCGTTCCATGGAATACACTTTGGAAATACCAAAATGTGCGCAACTATTTTGTCTCCTGTTTTGATATATGAGGAGCATGAAATCGTCAGCCTGTATGCGACCACAGTACCAAGTCAGAGGTCACCTAGGTTACTTGCGAGCCTGACCTGTGGATAGGTTATCTAAGGGTTTGATGGGTGACTTTAGGTGTCACCAAAGAACTACTAGAATAATTGAAAAAATAATACCTTTGAATGAAGTGCCGTTGACCATGTTCTTACTTTTGAAGGCCGGTGGTCCTGCAGTTTACTTGGGTAGGAAGTGGAGCCATTTGTACACTGATGTTTGTGAGGGGGCTTAACAGCTGTGCCGCTGTGCCAGTGGGCTAGAGTTTCACGCGTGCTGTTGGTCACGTGAAATCTTCTGTGTAAAGGCAGTGTTTCCTGAGTTGTGTTTTGAAGAGTGAAATCCAAGAAGGATACTTTTCTCAGGTAATATTACTGTACGTTTCAAGTGTTCGTTCTTGCGTTCCGACCTCCACAACAAAGCAAACTCTAAACTTGGGACAGTAAGCGCTAAGGGCTAGAAGATTAATGACCGAGCAGTCTCAGTGAGCATGCGCCTTGAGGTGGGCTGTTGGCTGCTGGTGAACATAGAGTGCTTCCTCTAGGAAGGTGCCCGGTAAGGGCTCCCTTCCTTCCTGTGATCCTTTGCCTTCAAAGCAAAACCCCGAGGCCCTTTGGTCATGGTTCCCGCACTGTCGCAGTGGAACCTGGAGGTGATCGATGCCGTGTGGCCCACCCACAGGCCCTCAACTGTGTTTGCCCTTTCCAGAGCAGCACGAACATTTTGGAATGATATTAAGTACAGCGGTTATGAAAGCCTAGATTTATCAAGTAGGAATCCATTGGAATGGAAAGAGTAAAAATATCAAGCTGTTTTTCGTGCAAACATGCTACTTTAGAAACCTTATTAACTGCATAATAACAACTTGTGATATCTCGATCTTTATATATTCTATATAAAGATTTAAATATTTTTAACTCAACTTGACTGTTATTATCCTGTTGTGCAAACTGAGAATGCCAACAACGAGGAAGGTTAAACTCTATTAAAAAATCCCCATCTCCAGCTTACTCTTTGCCCAGTGTTAACTGTATATTGCTTTAAATGTGGTTTCTGCTTGGGGCCACCTCCCTCCCTTAGGGCCCATCACTGGGACCTGACTGTATTGAATTACTCTTATGCACTCTTACAATGAATGTTGTTGTTTTAAGGTCTTCTTTTTCTTTGTGATTCTTTTGTTCCCTAGCGTCGTCCCCCAGACTACAGTAATACTCAACAGTGATCGGCAGAACGCCATTGTAGCCAAGATGGAAGACCCCTTGAGCGGCAGGGCACCGGATTCCCTGGAAAATATCATTAGCAAGTCAGTAGCCACAACACCAACCCCACCTTTCACTGCCACTGCCACGGTGATGAGTTCCCTCCAGGACAAATCAGCGTTCCGAGCCAGTCCGGCATTTCTGTTCTCACATGGGTTGAGCACAACAGGCACCACCCACAGTTCTTTGTGGTGGGGAGGGCTGTGCCATGCTGCAGACCCAAGTCCCTATGGACGGGCTGGATAAGGGCGAGAGGTTAAGGGAGAGGCGGCGTTTGGGACTGTTGTGTCCAGTGTAGCATGTGGTATCGGGACATTGTACCATGTTTTCACAACAGTCAGTCAAGCCCTTATCCTCTTAACCTGCTCATGGCTTACTCACATCTGCCTGTCTGTCTGTCCAGCAGCATGTCAGGTCAACAGACATCCTCATGTAAGTTTGCTAAGTGGTGGAAGCATTTCGAGGTGATGGCTTTTTTCTCACACCTTTTTCTTTTGAGATATTTTGAATGTAACCTTCGTCAGAAATGGAAGTGCATAAAAGGCATCGTTGCCACCCTTGTGTGACGGTGAAGTCTGCCGCAGGTGGCCCTGCCTAGCAGTCTGGGCCCAGCTTTTCCTGATAACATGCCTCCAAGAGGGCTGTTGACTTTTTGTTTCCTGTCCGTGTCTTCACAGAGTTCTGTTTTGCCTTTTCTCTCAGCCTCCTTTGCAGAGTGTTCCTCTTCCAGCTGTGTCCTGTTTTCTTTATTGTCGTAGCCCAGGCCTTTAGGAGCCCAGCTGTGCTGTTGAAGGCGGGCGCGCTGGGGTGAAGGGAGAAAAGGTGGTGAAGTCCAGGTGTCAGGGTGCTCAGAGGCCGAGGCGGTCCGGCCAGTACTGAGGAGGCGGAGTCAGGCGTGCCTCTCGCGTGGCTTGGGTGGAGGTCAGCCAGCAGAGCCTGAGCCTGAGGCGCCAGGTCAGCTTGGACAAGCCTCTGCGGAATCAAGGCCAGCTCCCTCCTCTGGGTAGGGCCAGGATTTGAAACTCTTTTTGATGTGTAAACGGGGGAAATTGTGCTTCTCTTCCCTTTCTCAGTGCTTAGCAGTCCACGTGAAGGGACCTTGAAAGGGTCGTTAAAAAAGCAAGTAGCACATCTCTGGATAATTTTGGTTTTTTGGGGGTTTTTTGAGCACTTTTTGGAGCTGTCTTCCTGGTAGTATCTCATTGCTCCATATCGGGGCCCCTGGTGGTGGTGAGCATATCCCCTAGGAGATTCTTGACTGACTTTTTAAACCTAATTTAGTGGTTTTTGTCAGTGGGAATAACTGGGAGTGATAACTGCATTTTCAACGACTGAGTCATTTCTAGAATGTCTAAGTATGGAGTGGATTGGGTCAGTGGAAGTCTCTAGGCATACTGCCTCTTAATTTAGTCTTTCTCTTTGACGTAAAAGTTACTCTTTAAAAGTTACCCTTACACGAATGTCAGCATTTTGTAAGCATGTCTCTGTGATCGGAAAGCAGCATTTAGGCCTTAAGTCGCGGTGAGCTGTGATTTTACTTCATGATATAAACAGTTTTTTAAAACTTCTAAAGTTTTATACAGTTTCTGTCAACCCCAGACTATTTCCTGGTATTAAATTGCTATTAATCTTAGTAGAAGGAGCTGCCTGGGAAGACTTGTGACCCACTGCTCTGTGCGAAGTTAGTCTCTGACGAGGGAAGGAAAGAGCATTGCAGTGACTCAGTGCTCGTCTCTGCCTGTCAGCTGTGCTGCTCTCACAACCCTGGTGGTGTTCTTGTTTCCCCGCTCAGCGCGGTTCCTGGGCGTCGGCAGAACACAATCGTGGTGAAGGTGCCGGGACAAGAAGACAGCCACAATGAGGACGGGGAGAGCGGGTCCGAGGCCAGCGACTCCGTTTCCACCTGTGGACAGTCGGGGAGTCAGAACATCGGAAACAACGTCACCCTCATCACCCTGAACTCAGAAGGTGCGCCCGCAAAGCCTTTCCTTTCCTTTGCCTGAACGGCAGTAGGTACAATCCCCCCACTTTTTAGAAGAGTAATATATGTTTATTGTTTGTCAAAAGTGACAAAATATAAAAATGATGAAGAAAGTGAAAATAACCTGGAAAATTCCATGTCTGTAGATCTCTATAAATCTTCCAGGCTTTTTCTGTGTTAACACACACACTGATTTATGATTTTATAACCCACTTTTTTCCACTGCAGAGTAGAAGTCTTTCCACATTCACACAGATTTACATAATCGTTCTCAGTCAGTTGCACTTACTTAATCAAATTCTGGAGGCTTTCTAATGAGGGACAGTTAATTTGTATAACTAGCAGTGTAACTAGCAGTTGGCTGACTGTCTTGGACAATAGGCCTGTCCGTGGTTTGCCGATGAGGGCCTTAATATAAACTCACAGAGGGTGATTGCACATTCAAGTTGAGTCCATGCCACGTGCTGTTCCACGTCTTCCAATGAGATTTAGAGGGAACTGCGTGTTGTGGTCGTTAGCCTCTAAGTGACCCCGTTTCACCCACGCTGGGGGTTCTGTCCCCCCTACCTCTCCCCCTCCAGGGTCTGAGGTACACTCTCACCTGGACCTTGGTCTGTGTGGCTGGCCTGGTGTTTCCTTCAAAGGATTCCTGCCACCTGGCGCCTTTGTCATGCCTTTGGGGGCTAACTTAGTGCCTCCCAAACAGGACTTATTATAGCATGGAGAGAAAGGAGAGAGAACTCAGACAAATTTAGTATTATTCTTACAGAGTTCAGAAGCCTGTAATTCCTTTAATAGTAAGAACTTGTGAGGTTTTTCTGCTTCAACGTCTGAGTCATGGATTTTTCCTAAAATAATGAGGTAGATTTTTCTACTGAATAAAGATAGTATATTCACGAAGTTATGCAATCATCACCACTATCTAATTCCAGAATATTTTCATCACCCCAAAAAGAAACTCCGTAGTAGTCACTCCCAATTCTCCCTCCCCCAGCCCCTGCCAACCACTAATCTGCTTTCTGTCTCTATGGATTTAACTACTGTGGACATCTCGTATAAATGGAATCATATGATGTCATCCATGTTGTAGCAGGCATCAGTATTTCATTCTTTTTTATGGCTCAATAATATTCTACCATGTGGATGGACTGCATTTTGTTTTATCCACTCATCTGTTGACGGACACTTGGTTGTTTCCACATTTTGACTGTTGTGCGTAGTGCAGTTGCGAACATTTGTGTACAGGTTTCTATGTGACTGTATGTTTTCATTGTCTTGGGTTGATTGATACCTGGAAGTTAAATTGCTGGGTCAGGGCAGCTAGTTTTTTTACACATTAAATTTGAAGAAAAGAGGGATGCTACTGATTTTATCCTCATGGATATTGAATGAAATCACATTGGCATCAATTGCAGAGAAAACTAATTGTTTTTACTCTTTTTTTCATGTTGATTTTGGGTAAATATGCACCAGATCTGGCTACCCACTTTAGTCCTAACGTTTGTTTGGTTTAAATTGCATCAGCTTAGGAATATAACATTTTATAATTTTGGGCGAGTCTTGGGGTTATCATAAAAGCAAAAAATTTCAACTATGAAATTTATGTTTCTTAATGCAGTGTGATTTATATGAACTATATTTCAGTGGGGGAAACTGCAAACTGACACTAAAATGAACATATAAAAAAGAATCAAAAGTTGAGCTTTTACTAGTATTAATATCTGTAAGAAAAATATGGATTTTTTGTCTCTAACTCTTAAGTTATTTAAATGTGAAATGATATACTATGTAAAACATTTTTCTTTAGCAAAGGCTTTGAGCAAAGTTTTAGAACCACATTTAAAACTAGTAATTGTTTTCATTAAACATGACTGATTATAACACAAGTTGTTAGGATTGGGGCAAATTAGAGAAATTTTTCTGATTTAAATTTTACTTTATTTTAAAGAAGAGGTTATAATTCAGGACCGTTCTATTTTACCATTCCATTGGGAAGAAACGTTTTGTAAAAAATCTGTTTCACTGACACTGAAACGTAACAGTTTCAGTGTTACGCGAACTCAGGTTGAGCTGCCTCAGTTGGCACGGTGGTTTTGGGGAAGATGATACAGAGTTGGATGGAGTCATTTTTAAGTGACTGCTGTGTGTGTAATGTTGGAAAAAGAGCTAATCCATTAATGTCTCTTGTATCAGATTTACTATCGACCTGTAGTGGCATCATCTGGTAAACATTTCTGTGAGATTTATGAATACACTGAGAATTGGATTAGCTGTTTCCCTGCCGCGTCCTCCCCCAAGACTAGAACAGCTTGCTCAACTGGAGAGAATGTCAACTCAGCTAGTTTATATTAGAGAAGCATTATTAATATGCAAAGTGCTAAAGGGCCATAAGCTCATCTTTAGATTGAGTCATTTTAATTCCTGATAAGAGCCCAGAGCTGCAACAGGACAGATCGTTCTTATCTTATAAAATTGTTTAAGTGCCTGAAGTTTTGGAAAACCACAGGTTTCAAAATGATTACTTCTGAAGAATTCCAAATGATTTGCATGAATTGACATGCTGTTTTGTATAGAATTTGGAGTTACTTTATTATTCTGCAAAGGTACTATATCATTTTATCCCAGTATTTTGCTTAGGCAGTTCCATCTGTCATAGCATAAACTCCATAAGAATGAAGTGCTAACTGTTGAGAGCACTGAACAATAAACTTATTTCTTAGTTTTTGCTCCTGTCTTCCCTTGGAGGTTTTGGTCTTTGGGTACTTCTGGGTTAAGCGCTGAAAGTGTGGTGGGTATAATCCTTCAAAGATTAAGCTGGCTAACTGAGTTAGAGAAACAAATTAGCAAAAATGACCAAAAGTGGGATCTGTTCATTAATGAAGGAATTTAGAGTCTCAATGAAGAGTTTAAGTTCCTGCTGTTTGTTATGCATTTGATAATTCTTACAAAACTAGACTAATCCTGTGTGTAAGATGTTGGGTACTTAATTTTAGTGGGGAAGGGTTATACTTCAGGTATAATTGAGTTAATATCAGAGATTGTCCTTATGAATGTCCCAAAGCCCAGTCAGTATACTAATTGACTTACATGGTAAATATCTGTGATGTGCTCAGTGGGGCTGGCGAAATGCAGCTGGGGAGAAGCAGTTCATTTGTGAGGGTGGTAAGTCACAGTAACAGGAAGCTGGACATGGTCTCCAGGATGCTCGTGGTGCCAGGGACTCCGAAATAAGATTAATACAAATTGCTGTGTTCACAAAACATCATAAAGAGGGAAATTTAGCAGAAGAACATTTCTTGAGAATTTATTTCCATAGTTTATTTTATATATAAACTGTTTTTTGCATAAATTTTTTGTGTGATAACATTAAAACACATTTTATTGGCGATCATAAATTGGCTGCTAAGAATAGGATTATAGACAGGTTAGTGACCAAAATAAATGAAGTTTCTAAAGAGAAACTAGAAACTAGTATAAGAATGTCAGGGATCTTTGAGCATGACCATATGGTGAATGCTAAGCTTATCCTAGATCCGAGAAAGGGGGCTAGAAGGGTGATCCAGACAGTGCCTGGGAAGGCGACGTCGTTTCAGTGTCTCACGCTGAGTCTCAGAATGGACAGCGTGTGACACTGATTAGAGACACCCTGTCTGTGCCCAGTGGTTCCCACTCCTTTATGCCAAGGCACCCTTCAACACTTGCCTTAGCCATGGTTGAGCTCACGGTGACTTCCCTGCTCGGCAGGCAGGAAGGAGGCCCGGAAGGAGGGAAGGAGGCCCGCCTGGTCCTGCCCTGCAGTGGAGGACTTGACCTCCCAGCTGGTGGCCTCCCGGCCTGAGTAGGTGGCCTTGGCTCTCAGTCAGTGGTGTGGTCATGCATCTTCTGTGGAATGTGCTCATATTGGTGGGAAAAGAATTGGCTCCAGTACCAAAAACCGTTGGTCTTTTTCCCTTTTTCTATATCATCCTATATGTAACTCAACCTTCTTGAATTGGCAGTTGAAAAGCCACGGATTATCAATCTGTTAATAGCTTAAAGATGTCACATCACTCCCCAATCAGCGTGGGTGTTTGGGCTACAGGTACAAAGTTCACTGTGTCTAAAGCCAGAAAGGTGGACCGTCAGTTTTTATGGGTTTGTCGGAGGGGTAGAGTTATCGACACTCGCTGGAGGTGTCGCACGGAAATGAGGTTCACAGTCAGACTGTAAACACCTGAATGTATAAGGGCTCAGTAATTGGTGCCAAATTCTAAGTACTGTGTCACCCAGTACTGGGGAGACCCGCCTAGCAGGGCGTGTTTTGAAAAGCCTCATTCTGCTCATTCCTGGCCTGGTCTGTCCCCAGCCTGTGGGCTCCCCTGGTCCTCACCTCCGGCACCTCGTCCATCATTTAAAAAGCTGCAGTCCCTCCTCCTGGGCTTGTCCTTTCACTCCGGAGTTAATGACGTTTGCTCCAGAGATGTAGGTGTAGGAGAGGGACGTGATGAAGGTGATATTTCATTGAAACATTTGAAGTGTGAGCTGGGAGCACCGCGGAGTGAGGGTCAGAGGAGAGGGGTGTGAACACTGGGTTTTGGGAGCAGCTCAAGCATGGATTGAGCAGCTGGGTTCTAAACACCTGTTGGTGAATTTAGAGCTGGGAAAGGGCAGTCCGGTGATTGGCCAGAATGTGGATTTAATCCCATTTTGGAAATGACTCATAATGACTTGGACTCCATGTAGTCATGTTTGACCCCACACATTTCTGGAAGTAGCTTCTGTGACTCTGACCAGCCCCGCAGCCTCCAAAGGCACAATGGACAGCGTCGTGTGCTCCTGCCACTTCGGAGCCCCAAGCGTTATCAGGGCAAAGGCTTAGAGGCCTCACTCGTAACCCTTTCTGATTGTTCCCTTTTAAATTTACTGATGCATTTGTGTTTTCCGTGCTGTATGACACATCACCACCAACGCAGTGGGTTTCACTAACAGCACTGTTTAGTATCTCACA